AAAAATAAAAAGACTATTTACAAGAGTTCCTGTTAATATACATCGAATTCGAAGACAAGGTAAATCATAGAAAATACAGCATCAATTGATTTTCTTTTGATTTTCTAGGCAAAAATCTCACATTTATCATTCTACGTGATGGAACAGGTTTTATTCAATGTATATTAACAGGAACTCTTGTAAATAGTCTTTTTATTTTTCTATCTACCTTGATCGTTTTTTCAGACGGAACCATCAAAGTAATAGATTCATTCCGACTCGGATAATTCCAACAATTATCTATTTGGATTCAATTAAAATGACTATTTCAAAAACATAGCCCATAGGCAATATTTCACATGTTAGGATTAAGAGTTGTGATTAGTTCTATCAATTTTCCTACAACTAGATTCTATTACAGTTTCTAGCAGACAAGTTATTGCAAGTTTAGATTGGAAGTGGACTAGGATTCACTAGAATTTGTCCAAAAGAATTCAATCTATTAGAGTGAAAATTTCTCTCAAACTGTTGAACTTTTCTGTCTTTAGTGTCAAACATACGATTCGATTATTTTATCAACTGAAGCATCTATATCTGTCTATGGTATGATACGACCAGTACCCGAAGGACAAAGTGCGCCTGGCAATCAAGAATTAGTGGTTGATTATTTTGAAGTAATTGGACATTCACCACCTGGTGGTACTGACACCTTAGTTAACAAGGTTCGAATTTTGTTTTGTTTTTATTGATAGATTTTCATAGAATTATTGTTTAATAGGAATCACATTCTGATGTTCAACTTGATTATCGACATATATTGATACGTGGAGAAAAAGTAAAATCTCTTTTCTTATTCTACGTCTAATTGAAAATGTTTGTAGACATCGAAAATTTTACGACTTCGTTCGATTGTTACACAATGTTTTCGTCAACATTTTTTTGATCGAAGCTATTATGAAGTAAGTAATTAGAATTTAGAACATATTCAGTCTTTCAATTATTTTATATTTAGACATTTCCGCCCACATTAGTACAAACTCAAGTTGAAGGTGGTTCAACTTTATTTTCATTAAATTATTTCGGAGAATCAGCTTATTTAACACAATCATCACAATTATATCTTGAAACAGCTTGTCCTGCTTTGGGTGATGTCTTTTGTATTGCACAATCATATCGAGCTGAACAATCACGTACACGTCGTCATTTAGCCGAGTGAGTTATAAAAATAAGAGTGACTTATCTATCTACAAAATCGTTCTTATATTGTGGTGTGAATATTTAGATATACACATATTGAAGTTGAATGTCCATTTATTTCATACAATGATTTACTTGATCGAATCGAAGAATTAATTGTTGATGTTGTTGATCGTCTATTGAAACATCCTGAAGTTCATTTGTTACATGAACTCAATCCAGTACGATACTTTATTTTTATATCAAATATAACATAAGTAGCCCTATGAATGTCGAAACCTATTCTCTGTAAACGAAAAGTGTTTGATGTTTGCTTTTTTTATCAAACAGTTAGTAAGAAATTTGCACTTATTAAACTACATTAAAAAAAGAAATTTTAGGACATATTTTGAGGTTTAAAATTTTAGATTTTTAAAAGCAATTAAAACTAGCTTGTCATTTTTTTTTGAAATACGATTTAAGAGGAGTGTTGAAGTATATAGGGTAGAAATTTCGACGCTCCACCTCACAGACAATGCCAGACATTGTTCATATGTGATCACAGATCGTATATCCATAGCGGCACGTTCTGCAGCTACATCGTGCTTTACATTTTAGTCCCATATAGATTGTGCCAATTGCTTTTTATTTTTTAAGGTCTTTTCTTGTTTAGACTTTCATTATACTGACTAAACAGAAGTTGAGTGAGTTTGAACTTGAAAATAGCAAATTATTGACTTTAAACTATTTGAAAATATATTTCCTATGTTTCTATAATTCCATGGTAATCACTAGGAATACTGATATTTCCCATATTTGGACTTTTATTCTCTGAAAAATGCGAACATATTTGACCATGTGGTTTTTTCCAGTTATCGAGCACTTAGAATATATATAGACACTATTTTGCTTTGTTTTGTAGCAGGTCATTAAATGTTCTCAGATCCTTGTAAATGGGGAATATCAAGTATTTTTGAGATTCCAGAAACTCAGAGCAATGAATTGAAGTCACGAAGTACCGAATCTGTGTATAATCACACCTGGTTATAATTTTGCTTCAAGTTTTTTAAATTAAAACAATAAAATTATCAAAAAAATTATATCCAATTTCAAAACATTAGAATTATTCTAGTATAAAGCTAAAGTAACAAGCAATTCCTAGTTTTTCTTGTGTCACAAGCCATTTTGAGAAACTTGAAAAATTCATTAATTTCACCTTTTGAATTATATTCTAAATTTTTTGAAAGTATAAATTTCAAAATACAGATTTTGTTTTATCCTTTGAGCAAAAAAAATTGGACTCCTATTGCTTTTCATTTTAACACAATAGGTATCGACATTTATCAGTATACTTATGCATTGGGAGTTACAAATATATTTTATTCTTTTTATTTTTAGAACTTTCAACCACCAAAAAAACCATTTAAACGTATGAACTATAGTGATGGTATTGAATGGCTTAAAGAAAATGGTATTAAAAATGAAGAAACTGGTAAAGTTTATGAATTCGGCGAAGATATACCTGAATTACCTGAACGAAAAATGACGGATACTATTAATGAACCCATATTGTTTTGTCGATTTCCGGCTGAAATTAAATCATTCTATATGCAACGAGATTCGAATGATAATCGTTTAACTGAATCGGTATAGAAAAAAATAAAAATATTAATATTCTTTATATGTTTTTATTATATTCAGGTCGATCTATTGGTACCTGGTGTTGGTGAAATTGTTGGTGGCAGTATGAGAATGACAAATTTGGAAGATTTATCTGAAAGTTTTCGTAAAAATGGTCTTTCACCTGAACCATACTATTGGTATTTAGATCAAGTGAGTGTATTTGATGAACATAATATACTTTGTCTGTGTGATACAACATTTTTAAGAGTAGTTAAAAAAAGATACGTGGTGTTGATTTTTAATAAAATCTTTACCAGTAAATCCATTTGATAGTAGTAAAAATATTAATGTTCGATAAAAATCATATTTCATTGAAAAAAGAACTAATTGAATAACAAATCATTAAATCTTTTTTTATTTGTTTAGCGTAAATATGGTACATTTCCTCATGGTGGCTATGGTCTTGGTTTTGATCGTTTCATGACTTGGATTACCAACGTACATCACATACGTGATGTTTGTCTTTATCCACGTTTCATTGGCCGATGTCGCCCATGAAAAACAAAACAAGCGAACAAATCAATTAGTTGCCTATAATGCAAAGATATTCTAACTTTTTTTTTTATACAATAATATTTGTTATCCTAAATAAAATGACTTTTCCCTATTAAAATGATTTGCAAAAGTTGTTACTTTAAATAAATTTCTCTCATAAGTAATATGTGAAAATATGAGTCATGAATATTGTTTGCTCTTCATTTGACTCTTATAATGCTGCTTTATCAGCTAACGGACAAGGAAGTAGAGGTAGCTTGGCCGAGAAATGAAGTATATAATTTCAAAAAACTGATTACAGATTAGGATTCCTTGATGCTGGATATCTTCGGTCAAACAATATAAAAAATCCTTATTTTTCCAAAATATGTCTTCGTAGACAAACGAATCAAATCCAGAATTTTCCTTTACCTGGTAACTGAGAAAGTTGCTGTCTGTGTAACAGTAACTTTCCAATATTCTGATAGACAACTTGAAATTTTCTATCATTCTATGCATATTTTTTCTATTAAAGAATAAGTCGAGTACTATGCAGACATACTTGACAAAATCGAAAAACAGTGGATTTTTAAACTATTACTTTCGCTTTTTATCATAAAAGTTTAGGATGGGTGACCATGCAAGACATTCTCAGAGCATAGAATAATTACTTATTCGATACTCTGATTGTTATATTCTTGATAAAATTGAAATCAAAAGAAAATTAGTACTAGAAAATCCAGTTTTTTAGAGTTTAATAAAAAGGATGCCTCAGTATTTCTCAATAGGTAAAAATATAGAGTGATAGAGAATTTCAAGTTCTATCTGAATATATATGATTTCTTTGTTAAGAAAGTAAATCAATAGTAATGAAAAATTTTTAAAAAAAACTATTTTTGATGCCAGTGAGAAATTCAAGTCAGTAGAAATCTGATGATGAAGATGCCTTCATTGTACAGTAATAGAAAACTTCAATCTCTTTTAGAAGACGCAATTATTTTTATAAATAATGCTGTTGTTTTTTCAAATACAAATATTAATTTCAA